TATAGATTGAGAATTGGATGTCAAGTTATCCATGAAGGCAGACAAGCGATGACTTTTGGCAATATAAATAAATATGAAGAAGAAGACGATTTTGGTGGGCAGTGAAATTAAAGTAAAGTGGTAAACACAGAATAGAAAACAACAGAAACTCATCAGCTGCCTGGTTATTTAGAGGGGAAAAAAAGAGGAAAATCTAATTAAGACGTGATCTCTGGGAAGTGAACTGACCAAAATCAAAAATAGTAAATTCGATATTATCGCTTTATTACCACTTTTACATATGTGTTAACATTTATGAATGCATGAGCAGCAGCGCAGGGGGTGTGGGAGGAAGAGAGCAACAACGAGGGCTGTCTCTGGGGCAGACTGCAGTGGAGTGCACACAAGAAGGGCTGGGAAGCCTCATATGATGCATTTACATGGATGTTACTGGTTATCTGCAGTGCTTTGTTATTTTTTCCTCCAATGGGAGACTTGGATTTCCTTGAATTGAGTGGGTAAAGGAATCAAGGATTTCATTTCTGCGGGGGAAACCTTATTTTTGGCAAAAGTAATTTCTAATGTGTGTGCATATGCATGTGCATTTTTTCCATAACTGACTACAAAGATGTGGAAGAATTAAAGGAAGTCGATATAATTCAACCCAAGCAAACAACCTGAATTTGATCATGAAGATATGTTTGTTTCTTTGGATCAGTAGTAGCTATTAGATGAGCTTTAGTGTCCCTTGGCCTTAATTTTTCACACCTATAGAGCTCAGTAGGGATTGCCCACATTTTCAGCATCCCCAGTCCTAGAAGTGAATTTCCCATGAATTCGGTCATAGGAAAAACTGTTAATTTGACGTCCTTTAAGTTATTAGGTAATTGAACATACTAAAAACATAAGCCAGGAAAAGAGTAGGCAAGCACTGAATATTTGACATCACAAGTACTGAGGTGCATTGCTAAGAGCAACAGAAGCTAGAAGGTAGATAGAAAATAACAACAAGTGAAGGAACATCAACAAGGATTAAAGTGACACACGGAAAACATGAGTAAATGGAGCACAAGTGAGGCAAATGTGGAAGAGTCTCTCTCTTCTGGAAGCTGTAGAAAACTAAAATAAGTAAAGTCATGTTCAATAAAGCAGCTTTCTGTATTTCCATGTCTATCTCCCTTACAAGTCAAGTTTCCTATCTGAATGTGTTCCTGGCTCCACCTGAAAGGAAAACGCGCCGATCCAAACAGTCACTTTGCTCCAATCTAAGCCTCACCAACAGCGTCAATAAGAAGCCACAAAGACGCAAACTGGCGAGCTCATCCAAGGATCACATTGTGATTCACAAATGCGTGTCCATCTCTCCATCTCTGCAGCCAGACAGAAATAGTCAGTTTTGGCACTGCCATAGTTTTGCCTCTATCCCTCTGCACTGTCTGTCCCTCCCTCCTTCCCTTTCATCTCAAAGCAGGAGGGAGTGGGGGAAAAACTGAAGTTATTGCATGTGACACACCCAGGAGAGAAAAAAGGGGGGGGAAATTGCATTACTTCACAAAGCTGAATGCCACAGGAGCAGAAAGAGATGTAGCTCTCCTGCTGCTTAATAACAGTGGAAATATTTAAAATAGGAGCAGCGGCAGCAACGGTGGAATATTTCGGAATCTATATTTAGATTGGGAGTGATGTGCCTCGCCCTCGCAGCCATGGCTCATGTGGGATTCACAGGGGAGACATGGAAATGCATCAGGGTGGAGATCAATCTAGCATGCTGCAGAGTAAAATGCAGAAAGATGTCTTTCCCCTCGCACACACACACACACACACACACTCACAATCGGGCCAATATATCATATATTATCAAAACAAGTTCTGTCGTGTTCAGGCTGACGGCGGACGATCAAACTGAATCCTCCTGCATTTATTCCACAAGAACATTTCAAAGCATTGTAATCTCTAAATGAGGTAGGATTTACAGAGTGAGCTACAAAGTCAAATTCCTTTGTACAGCCTCTTTACAAGCCATCTATTTTTAGCTTCCACTGCCATCACTACTCCAGCTGGATGCAAGAATATCATCTGCTATTCATTCATTCACTAACCAATAACCTGACTCCCGGGCTCGCTTTCACTCTGCAAATTTCAAACATTATTACTTTCCAGGATCTTGTCACAGCAAATTGCATTGATTATTCGGCTCTACATCAGTTGGCTTTAATTACATTTACTTTGCATTGCTTCGCTAAGCATATATCTCCACGTGATTGCGACTAAATCACAATTAGCCAATGCCCCGTGCACCTGGGAGAAAGACATAATGGTGGTTTCATGTAAATCAATGGCATGTGGGTGTTCATCTGCAAAAAATAATGAGGTACTGCAGAAGCTGGCTGAACAGTGTCACTGATAAACCTGAATTGATTTTCACTGGTATAGATTGCATAACACTGTTAGACATTATTTTTTTGGTAAGTAAAATAAAGAAAGAGCCTTAATCTGTCGCACAGCTTACAGCTTCAGTGGATATTTTACATGGGTGGAATTACATTTATTCTTATTTAGCACTATTCAAAACTTATACCACAAGTGACAATCCAATATGTTTCTTATTTTCTACTTTAATTTCTTCCTGAATTATAAGAAATCCATTTCCAAAGCCCATTAACACACTGAAGCTTTAAATCTTAAAATAGGTTCATTATGTTTATTTATATCCCTTAGTTGCTGTCACATTGATACCCTTTTACAGTCTAAGTTGTTCATTTTAAAAATGGACACCATTTCAAACAATCAGGTCAAGAGAATTCCAGTGAGCCAAAAACATCTAAAACCAACGTGCTTAAAATATGCAACGGGGGTTAGAGATCATCTCAATCTGACTCTGAGTCCTAAAACTAAAAACCACTCCAATCAAAAACCAATAAAAGCCACACTTTCAACAGAGTGTTTATGTCTGTGTTTGTGGGTGCAAAAAGAGGCTGACACATATTTCTTAAATAAATCATACAAAATATACTTTGTAACAGAATCAGTTGTCTCTCCACTGAGCTTCTAATTACTTGGAAATACTCAAATGTTTGACAAAAACAAAAACATACCAGGTACACACACTGAAAATCAAAAAATCAGACAATTTCCAAAAAAGCCCTTTAAAGGCCTCTGGAAAGCCTGAAAAATTACTGCTCTAGACTACTTTAAAAAATGAAGGAAAAAAAAGTGACTCCTTGGAAACAAAACATAAAGAAGAGGAGACTTTTGCACAGTACTGTAGGTATGGGCGAATCAGTATTGACACCAGCGTTGGTAATCCAATTGGACTGAGGGGACCAACATTGTTATTTCAGCTTAGACATCTCTGAAGTGAACATCTGAAGCCTCAGTAAACTACCAGCATAAAACAGTTTTCCGCCAGCTGCACGTTCTGGTTAGAGTGTCAGACCAGATCATGGAGTACCAGCAGCTGCAGTCCGAGACTGCAGCCGAGCAGAGAGTTAGATCCTGCCACAGTAGAAAACTGATGAGTTCACCAGTGCTAAAATACAAGTGTGAGGATTGCCCAATTGTATATTGATCCCATCAGTGTCTCAAATGGAAGTAAATCTATATCTAATAATAATATAATAATAATATATATTTAAATACTTGGTGTCTAGTAATATATTTAGGAAGCCGGCCCAAATAAATGTTAAATATGTATATACTAAATTTTGCTTATTTAGTTGTTTTTTTCCATCAGTGATACGGCTAAACAATTTAACACATTCATGAATATGACCATGTATCTGTTCGGTTTGTATCTGTGAATATTTATGTTATATTCATTCACTGATGCAGATATATATAATAATATATAAATGAACATATTTCAGCTGTTATCATTCTTTTGTTTGGGCGCGCAGTGCAGTGTTTTTTTTTTTACTTTATCAAAAAAGCGTTTTCTTTGGAGAAGCCAGGCGAGGGGCTGCCAATTAGAAGATACTTTCAGGAGGTGAGGATTAAAGAGACAGGAGCCTGGTTTTGTTCAGACAGAGAATGAACTGCAGGACTGTATATACTAAAGATACAACAGATTTTAATTGTTAATTATGCAATGATGCTGCAGCAGATTCCAAGATTAGAAATATGGAGGTGGAGAAGAACACAGTAGGTCTTCTTTGAAAGTATTTACTCAATTATTTGATTCCTTGTGTCTTTAAAGCAAAGCGATTAAATGTATGTGTGAAGCAAAGAAAAAAGAAAGAAAGAATTGATCTGTAGATTGATGGATTAATAGATCAATGAATCGGTTAAAGGGAGAGTGCAGCAGGGGTTGGGTGTGGCTGACGTAGCAGAAGCTCAAGTACTAAATAATGAATTTAAAAATAAAAATAAATCTTGAATTCAAGACACTATTAATGATAAGTTTAGTTCAAAACTAAAGAGTTTGTGTTAAGAATAAATATAAATAATAAAGTCTTTAAAAGGTTACAGTAAAAATAAATTCTGTGTGCTGGTTTTAAATTAACACAATGCGTATGAAGCAGCGTGAGTGGCTGGTCAACAGATGGTAGTGTTGACAGGCTGCTGGGTTCATTGGCCAGCTCTGTGTACAGTTAGCAGGGGGTCACCAACAAGCCCTGGGATGTTAGTCTCTGCCAGTCCCGTTTTATCACATGCACACTTCGTCTGTGAAATCCCTGCTTATCACAGCTCCATTCAGCTGCCACCAAAAAAAACACCTGAACAGTGTGATTTATGAACTGGGGTTTGCACTGTCTGACAAGGCAAACAATCCCACTTTGTGCCGCTGCTGCAGATATGAAACTTTGTTCTCAGATATGTGATTTTGCTTTAGATGAATGAGCGACGGTGTGAAGTGAAGGTTGAGCTGAATGCCAGCCTTCAGTCAAGGAGAACATTTTTATTTTCAGCTCAAAGGAGCATGGCATGTAGATTATCAGCTAACACTTCAAAAAACGATTGCATGAAGAGATCCAAGGCTGCACGGCGACACATGCACAAGCTCACAAGAGTCTCAGGCTTACCGGAAAGTAGAGAAGCAGAGCCCCACACAGGATGGCCTCCAGCAGGACAAGACCTGATGCTCTGATACTCTGTGGAAACACAAACACGCAACAATTATTAAACTTCGGATTTATCGACCATTTAATATATAAGAAATCTGAGCACAAAATATGAATAATATGTTTAGCCAACTGGTATCAAGGACATTGTATTCACAAGCTCAAGTTGTTCATCTTTTACTAGTACAGGGTGGTGGGACTAGTGCTGTTGTTGTAGCCTCAGGGAGATTAGTCAACACATCAAGCTATGATTATTTAACTTGAAATCTGTATAGAGTAGAGATGCAGAGAACCACAACAGCAGCCAAGTCCCGATTCTTTCAGTACCTGTGCCAAATACTCTCAGTCTGGTGACCAGAAAATATAGCAATAGCAAAATCAACTTGTAGCAGTGGACAGAGCAATATTAAACCATTAAACCATTAAACCAACCATTAAAGGATAAGGCAGCTCAGGAGAGACTGTGCTGGTGGAAAATTGTCGTAGGCCGATCCTCCAGGAAGGACCAAAGGCTTAACTAACTATTACTGAGGTTTTATTGGGGCCTTTTCACTGAAGAAAAATCCACCAAACAACCAAATTTCAAAGCCATGCAGTGGCCATAATACCAAAACAGTGATGTCAAAGAGACTCAAATGCTTCATAAAGAGCAATTGTAGTGTTGGGTGGTTTGTCACTAAGACCAACTTCAATTACATTACAAACAGATTGCAGAAGAAAGTTTTTCAGTTTTTAATATAAAAACATAAATGGACAGCTTTAATTTTGATGTGTGTGTATCGTAAACAGAAATAAACCAAATAACATGGACGTAACTGCCCACTTTTTAAAAGATATATTAGAAACAGGGTATCAAAAATGTCAAAATAATGTCAAAATAAAAATGTTTTTTCTTTTGTGTACAGAGTACTGTAGTTTTTATTCACATTAAAAATGTATCGCACAGCCTGTCATAATACTCAAGGCTGATTTAAAGAGGATGGAGGTTTGTTCCTTGTTGCTTGAAAGAGGAGAAGAGCAAAGCAAAAGCCTTAAGCACTTTTTATAGAAGCATCCACCATTTGCAGGCGCTTTGTGTGCACCTCTTGTGTAAGATATTTAGCAACATATCGTCCTCTAATTGACAAGGCGCTTGAGGGGGGCTTTCAGAGAGCAGAGGACAGCTGTGCCACCCATTTAAAAATACATGCAAAAGAAAGCAAAAGGGCTCTCTTGGTGCACCAGATAAACTTATTTTAATTAAATTGCATGAATGTAATTGAAAAGTCTGCAAAGAACTTTGAAACAAAATCTTAAACTTAGTTTAATGACATTAATTGGAATTATATAAGTAGCCTTTAAATTATGACAAAGCCCTGGAGTATCTGAAACATCCATCTGCTTTAATAATGGGAATGATCCTTTGATGAACTCTAGCCGTTGTAATGGCAGAGTCCTCGGGTGTGGAAGACAGAGCAGCTAGAAGTTCCTTTGTCAGGAATGTGGAGCATCTTGAGGCTAATCCTCAGATGTTTGATGCTCAATTCAAAGCTAGTAATTAAAACACTTAACTGACAGAAACAACGGGAGCAATGGGAGGCTGAAAAGTTCACAGATTTAATTAGGTAGACGTTAAACTAAAGAAAAAATGTTTGAAATATTAACCATACAAAATCAAGTTTTGTGTCTTGACATGAATATATATTTATTTTTTTGTTCCAAAACACAAGACATTGTACGGTGTATTCAGGAAACACTGAGCAGTGGGAGCAGTCGCAGTTTTCCCCATATGGTATCTCACTTTTTCTTATCCTGGAAAAGTACACAATACACACCCCGTCTCCTTCTGCTTTTTGTGGGAGTTTTTTCTTCCCACTGTCGCAGAAGGGTTACTTGATTGGGTTGTCTGACTGTTGAGGTTTTCTCTCTAACATTGTAGGGTCTCACACCTGAGTTGGCTCCTGTAGTGAAATGAAACTGAATCTCCTGTTTGTCTGCTACGGTTTGCAGATCCCAGCGAGTGTAGCATCCTGAGTGTGTGTTGAGGTAGTTCTGTGTTTTGAGTTGCAAAGCTTTTGAATATTCGTTTTAATATATAAACACTCTGTTTCTAATGCATGTTTCATTTTCCGGCATATTAGAGCAGCGATGCTCAGACACCATCAACACATTGAGTTGCTAGACTGATGAGGAATCTGTGTCATCAAAGTGCTGCTTAGTAAATGACTAAAATATAGTCTTGCTGATAACTAACAAATGTAACTCAATGCCCTCCACAGCATTCTGACGCTAGTCTAATTCTGGTACTTGAAAACTCCAGGACTGATTCCTGGAGGATCAATCTCTGGCTCTCTTGCACAGCATGTCTTTTATCCTGTCGTCCTTCTCTCACCCCAACTGGTCGCAGCAGTTGGCCGACCCTCGCTGATCCTGGTTCTGCCGGAGGTTTCTTCCTGTTACAAGGGAGTTTTTCCTCCCCACTGTCGCCAAAGTGCTTGCCCATAGGGAGTCATATGATTGTTGAGTTTTCTCTGCATTATTGTAGGGTCTACCTTACAACATGAAGCATCTTGAGGCGACTGTTGTTGTGATTTGGCGCTGGATAAATAAAATTGAATTGAATTGAGTTGAAAAGCCAAATCCCACTTTTAAAAAAGTAGTTACGTAGATCCAAGAAACAAAAGAATCACCAAAGAGATGCTACGAATTAGACTGAATTTGTAATTTGTGTAAGTAGTATGTACTACTTCATGTAAGGAAAGTATAGACTTAGAGAGGGTTAGAGTCAGAGGTTACGGTTACATCACAATAACATGAAAAAATGAATGAGCTCTTTTGATCAACCACAAAATTTGTATAGGTATCCTCACCCAGGCAACAAAAAAAAAGGACAACCGTTCTATTCTGTTTCTAAACTTAACAGAATAGTTTTTTTTAAGCCTTTAAGTCCATTTAAAATCTCAAACCCGACTAAGTCTCTAAATTCCTCCACTACCAGCACATCCAGCCTGTTTTCTTTTTTCTTTTTTCACTTTTTAAATAGAAATTGAGATCTAGATAGGCGATACAGTAGATACAATGAGATGGAACTAGGAGGAGGATGATCCACTGCGGCGACCACTGAAAGTAGGTATGGGTCTTGTCAAATGAAAAAGCTCATTCAGGCAAAGAAAAACCAGACAAACACAAAAACAAAAATAAACCTGACTAATTCACTCTCTGTGACTGATTATAGGACCCCACTGTACCACAGGCAGCACTCTTGCATGAGCTAAATCTCAATCTTTACTTTGCATCACATCTTATATTCATACTCTTCTTTTTAAAGGTGCATGGTCTCAAGGTCATGTAAATAATGTAAAACTTAGTGAAGTTACTAAATTAAGCAGGAGATTTCAACCAGGTGTCATCATTCAAATATACATATAAACCACGGATCATAAGTAAAAGATTAAACAGATTGAATGGTGAGTGGTCTGATGTATGAATCAAAGTAAATGTGCTTTTGTGTTTGCAAACTTTGGTCGTGATCCAAGGTGGTGATTTTGACTTGATCTGAAGTGTTCGATTCATTTGAAATCATTTCAAAGCTTTATTGTGACCACCCACATTTGGAACTACTGTTTATTAGTTCGAGCGGGCTTTGATGACCATATGGCCTATAAAACATCAAACATGTTGATGTGATGTTGCAATTGTGAATTAAATTAGTGTAGATCTCTCTTATCCACTGTTGAGTCACAAAACTTCAGCTCTTCATGGCATTAATGACTACATTCTTGGTTTAAAACACATAAATATAATTATATCAAAGAAGAAGATGCCCTTTAATACCAATTCAAGATGACGTATCTGGAAAATCATTGTTTTATTATAACACCTACCTTATTCCTACGAAAGTGGTATATAAGGACCATGCTAATGAAGACGATCAGCATGCAGAGGCACTGGAAAGAGACCACAACCATGCGAAGAGCGCCATCCTCTTGTACCACACAGGGGGTGTCATCTTTACAGTAGGCGCAACCCTGCTGGCAAGGCAGGCAGTCACTGGAAGATTCCTCCTCTGTGTTGGGACTGCTATCTGCAGGTTTTCCCTTCCTCCCCATTCCTGTCAAAGAAAACATTGAAAAGAAGAAGTCCCAAAATCTTAAATACTCAAAGAAACAAACACTAAATAAAAACTCTCACAGGCTGATTTCATATTTTTTGTGTGTTCCAGGACAATTATAGCTACATTTTTAATAATAATAAAAAATAAATAAACGGCCCGAAATACTGACACAATAACCCCGCCAACAATTTTCTGCACGTGAAGTTCATTTAGGCTAAAGTAGCACATAAATTAGTGCATTTAATGAAAATTAAAAATACTAAAAAAAATAGCTGAATTCAAGAGCATAATACATTTCTGAAATATTAAATGCAATTCCAACAGCTAAAAGTTACGGATAAATATTTATTGGATAAAATGACAAATAATTTTACCTTATTCAGTTGGCTAACAATAGTAAACGTTGTACTCTTAGTTTATAAAGCAAAACAAAAGAAAGATCAACAGTTGAAAAATGCTAGAATTAATGGTGGGACTGATAAGTTGTTAACTTAAAATAAATGAGCTAGATGATAAACTGTCGTGCGAAAAAGAAAGTACGCACTCGAGTTTAAAGTTTTTACGTATCAGGACATAAAAAGAGATCATCTGGTTCTTAAGAGGTTCAAAAACTGGTTAAATATAACCTCAGATAAACAACAGGACAACATATTACACAGTGTTACAGCATATTTAACAAAAAAAACTAAGTCAAAATGCAGAAATGTGTGAAAAAACTATGTACACCCTTCCTCCATCCATAGGAATCAAGAGGGTAAATAGCATTTCTGCTAATCAGATGCAGATCATCGTAAACAAGTCTGAGCAGCTCTATAAAAGTAAAGAAGGCCATCATTGAACACTAAGAAAGATTATTCACAAGTGAAAAACATTCAAGACAGTTGCCATTTCTTACCAGGAGTGGACATTCAAGCAAATTCACCCCTAGGTCAGACTGTGCAATGCTCAGAGAAACTCCAAAAACCCAAGAACTACAAAGCTTTGCCCAAATTTGTTCATGCAACATGACAACGATGAGCAAATCTACAACAGAACAGCTGGAAAAGAAATCAAGGTAATGCCGTGGCCTTAAGAGAGCTGTGCATAAACAAATGCCTTTAATAGAAATTATTTAATAGAAAACACATAACAAATAGAATACCCATGCGCTATAAAATAAATCAGAATATCAAAAAGTACATTTATTAATATGGTAACACATAATCAAAGGAGCTTGCAAAGAAAAACGTCTGGACTTCTTTAAGTTACTTGAAGACGTTTCACCTCTCATCCGAGAAGCTTCTTCAGTTCTAAGGACAAATGGTGGAGAGTCCCAGATATAACGTCTTCAAGTAACTTAAAGAAGTCCAGACGCTTTTCTTTGCAAGCTCCTTTGACTACGATGACCTGGATGACTGAGAACCTTCACAGACGGTAACACATAATCTGACAGAGTTAGTTAGCTAGAAACAGAACTAGAAAATCAGTTTTCCCAGTTGGTTGAAATCTTTTGCTAAAATTAATGAATTTTGAAACAATAATCAATAGTGTAGTTAAAATATTGGTTGAATGGTTTGATCGCTTTGTTATAGGTAAATATAAAGACAAAAGACTGTAACATCTACTTTCACTGAATTAGGTTTTATACAACTTTAAACAACCACTTTACAGCGTTTTGCTCTTGACCTGTAAATCTGTTTGATTTGTATATGTGGTTTTTTTTTTTGCTTTTTTTTTACTCAATAATTTGACATTCGACATCATATTTTGAAGAAGATAGGAACAGATGGTACAGCTGTCATTTAAATTTTCCTTGTTGTTGAATTTTCCTCCAGATCTGTCCAGATGAAGTGCGTCAGTGGCAGAGTGAATCCCGACTGTATATATACTCTTCTTCATCTCTGACCTTACAAGAAGTCATCGACATTGTGTCAACAAGAGGGAGATGGATCTCTGTGTGTGAACATGGAAAGTCAACACGGCTCAACCCTGTTCAGTCACGGGCATATCATACAAGGTTGATGACTTCGGCTCCCTAATAAAAAACACACAAAGACTTTTTAACTTTTTTGGTTTATTCTACCAGGACCAGAGAAGCTGTGAAATGTTTTTGAATGAAGCGTAGTATAAACTAACTATAACCACTTCAAAAGTAGCTGTTTTTTTATTTGCTCAAATAAATTGGTCACATTGGAAAGCAGCAAAAACTTACGCAGACTTAAGAAAAAAATTCTCTCTCAGGGTAAAGTAAGGTAAAAAAAACAAAAAACAAACTAAACAAACCCAGGGGGACAACAAGGAGGAAGTGGACTTGTTATTGGCTTGTATAGAAATCCCCTGAGAGATGCCCATGTGGTTGGATAGATAACACATTTTGGACTTATAGAGCTTTTATAGAGGCTTTATTGGAAGCAGGCATTGTCTCAGAGATTTGCAGGGATTTTGCCTTTAAAAAGAAACTGGCCTATTTTTCAAAGCTATGACTCGGCACATCATTGATCCCTTCAAAAGGAGTACTTATCTCGGTAGCACTGAGTCATTTCCTTTAGCTCATTCTCAGTGGTTTGTTGCTGCTACGTTTGAGTGACAGTCAAAGGAAACGCAGCTACAGTAACCTCTCTCCCATATTTATATGCAAGATACACAATGTAAGATCACTGTGAGACAAAGGGAAGAGAGTTGCACAGGCTTCCTCTGCAGGAGTGTCAGTGATGTCCCCTTGTGGATTAACAGGCTTGTTATTGGCCCCATGGTGGGCCAAACTGCAGCACAACGCCTCGCTAACAGGCTTGCTTTCCCTCTCTATTGCTGTGTTCTCAAAGATGCACACACACTGAGCTTTCATGCAGATTTGAACACTTGCACATGCAAGTTTGTGTGCCTTCGCAGCACAGCAAACAACACAAATTGGCTAAAACAGACAGAACATATATTTAGCTCTCTGTGCACGAAGTGTGACGTTTTAGAGTAAAAAATGGATGCAATAAGATGGTGGAAAAATCTGAGTGAAGGAAGGTAAGGGGGAGGGAAATGGATGAGAATGGGGGTAAAATTGAAACAGACGCACGAGAACACGCTGTATGAGGTTTGAGTGGGATGAGGCAGGAGGGAAAGTGGATTGAAATGAAAGTATGGCACAGAAAGTGATGGAGGGCAGGTGAAAACCACTGGGGTTCTGTGTCTGCAAAAGCCTTTTTTAATTAACTCACAGCAGACAGAATAAACTGGAGAAAGTCGCTACCATTAAAAAGATATTTCCCTTCTCGAACCAGATTAGCCTCCCCAGGTACTGGGTCTACTTCAATTTTCAGACAGGGCGGATACGGTTATCGCAAATAGCTGACGGCCGTCGTCATAAAGTGCAGCTTTTAGCAGAGTCAGAATTAATAAAATGAACTTATTGTTAATTCATCTGCTCTATTTTAGTGAGAGAAAAAAGGATGATTGTGGAAACATTTTCAAACATTTGCTGCTAAACTGCTTGCAAAATAATAATTTTTTACCTTTGTGTCTCCTGTGCTTTTTACTTCCTGTTCCGCTGATTACCCGCTTGAATTACCCCACCTTAGCTGTTTCCACCTGTGCTCTGTTCTCACCTGCCTCTCATTGTGCAATCAGTCCTGTGTGTCTACATATAATCCTCCCTTCACCTTCATCAAGACGTCAGTTTTTCCCCCATGTTTTACTGGTTCTTAGTGTCTGGATACGCCCTGTTTAGTCCAGTGACTGCAGTGGACATTGGTTTTTTTTTTTTCAGATTTTTGCCAATTAAGGCACTTCTTTTTCATTGTTATTCCACCAAACTCTACATTCTGCACTCAGCTCTTCTCTTCACCTCAGTCCAGGACAATAAAGGTTTTAACTGTGGACGTTGCAAATCAAAAAGTATGATAAACACAACTTACCAATCCTTCAGTTTACTCACATTTGTCAGATCTTTCAGCCACGTTTCATGGACTGCTGTGGCATTTAGTCAGTAAGACAATTTTCAGAAAGTATTAAATGCCATCAAACATTTTGATATGCACAGAAGTAATTATTATATTTAACAAAGGTGAATTAAAGCCACGGTATAATTGGGCACATACTGGCTATAATGTATGCACTTCCACCTGTGATTTCCCTGCGTTAAGTCGTAGGGTTGTTCATTGTTAGCATGTTTAGCAACACTTAAACGCAGCCACATGAATAAAGTCTGCATACAAGGAACAATCATCTTACAGTGACTGATTTGCCATTACTTACTTGTAAAACCATTGACAGCTACTCTGTTGGGATGATAGAAACCTTTCCTGCAGTGGCACTTGTACTTGTCCAAGACAAATCCGTGACCACGGATCGGCAAACACTGAGAAGAGAAGAGCAGAGACAAAAATGAGTGCATTTTAAGCTAGAATAAGTTTTACAATCAACAGCGTTTAATTGTGACATCTTGTAATGCAGACACAGACGTGCAAACTATTAAAATATGTCAATACCAAAGCAAAAAGTAAAGCCCGCAAACCAAATTCAGCAAACAGACTGAGATCAAGCGCCTTGCGGGAGGGACACGGGTCTAATTATTTAAGTTGTGAGATTCCTCTTTCTGTCTAACTGTGCCTCCTCATCTCTCCATATTAAATTAGTAAAGCCTCTTCCATTTGATTGAACGTGTGATAGGGAGTAGACTGAGAAGAGCAGAGAAAGACACGAGGGGCGTCAGGGGGCACCCTTGGCAGACTTTGTGTGCTGTTTGCCAAATTACAAGACATAATTAATAGCTAAATTAAGAACAGACTTATTTGCCTGATTAGAGAATCGCCATTAATTCTATTTCTTGTGGGAATGAGATTTCATCATCTCCCCAGTACAAACACATTTTCCCCTCTCATTCTTGCTCTCCCTCAAAAACTCCTTTACTGTTTTTTTTTTATTTTTTTCTCCACACAACGTGAACATGTTTTTCTAAGCCAAGACGATAATGACTTATGAATCCAAAGAAACGACAAGGGGCCCAGAATAGCAACGGTACTTTAGCTGACACTTGACACGCTATGAAGTGTTTGTGACCTGACTGAGAGATCTAGAGGAAAGGCCGGTGGCAACGTCAAAATGAAGCACCAGTCACTGTGATGCTCTTCACAGCGGACTGGACTCGGCATGTCTTGAGAGGCTGCTATTTCTGACTGTCTCTCAAGGTCCTTGGTGAGGGCTGAATGCATTTTTCAGTCCGAGAGTGTGCGCTCCTCAGTCGAAGCCTTGAGAGGCCAGCCAGGACTCAAAAGCCCAAGGTAATTACCAGGTTACTATTCAGTGGACAACTTCCTCAAGTAAATTCCACTGAAGAGGCCAAAGTATATGAAGTGACTCTTCACTAATCTGTCGAAGACGACTTGTCGTTTTAGTGGTGAGACCCTCGAAAGACCCTCAATCTGACACCTGTGAATCTGTGTAGAGTGATTTTCCTCACCGCTGTACTCAAACACTATATAATACCCACACGGCTCGTAACGAAGTAGATGCTTATTTCAAGACATACCCTCTATGTCACGTATCTGTCAAGTATTGGCGGAGAGATGACCCAAATGCAGGTAAAAATCATTAGAGAGCATGTTTTTATCGGCTGTTAGAAAAACACACGGTCCGAAAGAGAAAACAAAACAGGAATCACTGGGTGCTGTCTAGTATTTATAAAATGTCCTCCCACTTCCTTTACCCTCATCAATTTACCTGGAAAATGTCAAGAAATGTATAAAGAGGTTATATGCACATAGCATTATATTTTAGTATATTATAGTATATTTATATTTTAGAATCCTTAACAACTTGGTGACAAATCTCATCTGTGTTGCAGCCTCAACATCCAGAAAATGCACACCCTGTGTGATCTCACTTTGTTGTTTGAGCCAGGCCATATAAACAAGAACCACCAGTGAAAAACGTCAATTTATCCCAACAGCTGGAATTTTAAAGGAAAAGGAAGACGTGCTTGGATGAGGAAATCAATTAAAGGCAATCCCAAAGACTAAAAATACAATGACAACCTGAATCTTCAAAGATGACAACAATCTGTTTTGATAAGAAGCAGAGTTATTCACAGGAGCCTAATGTTCATAGTTCAGCTGTGGGCTTAACATAGCGACTTGTTGAAGGTTTATTATGGCTGCCAAACAGTTAGGAACCTTTCTGAGCACATTTGACTGTTTGAAACAAAAATGAAACATATGCAAAAGCAGACAATCAGAAAGGAGGGAAAAGAACAAAAGCAGGAAATAAAAGCAAAACAATACAGCTGAGAAACCAAACCTTCAAAGTAAAACAGGAAGTAACCAAAAGATAACTAATTAACCACAAGGCATCACGACAGATAAAGGGGAACGCAGAAAGCAGAAAATAACACTAGAGACAACCGAACACTAACAGAACCGCTGACATTTTGTTATATATTTTATGCTATTAGTGTCACATGCTTTGAATATATTCCCCCATCATGCTTTTTTAAGCGCTCTTCCACCAGTCATGTTCATGGGGAATAAAAAAAGCCCAGAGTTTTTCTTTAAAATAAGTTTTACAGTAGCTTCTGTTCATTTTCGTTTATGCACAGACTGTGTATTGAAGGGTGTAGCCACAGTGATATGATTCACTGGTTTGTGAAGCCCCATCTGGAAGCCTTAAACAAAGTATTAAATACTCTGTTTTGAAAACAGACATATGAAGCTAGAGCTGACTGCCAAACTACAGTTTGACACTGCATGCTCATACTGTAGCAACTTCTCATTCAGAAAGTAGCCATGCCCGAAAGCATTCCCTGCTGCTGTCATCTGGTTTTCTCGGAAGAGCAACATTAGTTACCCAATAAACATCATGTTATATTTAGTAAGATTTGAAACTAGTGACCACAAAGAAAAAAGACCAAATGTTCATTAGCAAAGTGTTTAGTGTGGCTATAGAAAGGGTGACCATCAGTCTTTATGTAGCCAGAGGAGTTGCCCCCAGCTGGTCAGCAACAATAGAGGTGCGACTCCTCAGCCATCCTTTATATACAGTCTGTGGGTTTGTTGTTATACTGTTGACTAAAGGATATTTTAAACCTCACTAGAAATAAATTATTTCATAGTGAAAGGCAGGTATATTTTGTAAAATTTAGTTACAGTGAAGATCACACAGAATTATCACCCAACCTGCACAGCATTTTAGCATCTTTAGCTCAGTGTGGTCTTGTAGCTTTACTGCACTAAGCAGCTGTTTAGTGAGAAGTTCTAGAGGTCCATCTGTGCAGCTCTAAAGAGTGTATGAACAGAGTTAGTGACTTGTTGTGTTTCACGTAAAGAGTGCTGCAGGAGCTTATGAATCAGTTTTGGAGTTAAGTACATCAGGTCTGACTCAGAGAAGTGACTCCAAATAAAGGCTTATGCTGCTAAAAGCATAGGTGAGTAATAACACACTTGAATGGTGATGATGTATGAGTAATTATCTTAATATGCCACTCCATTATCTTGCAAACTTGTTAACTTGTAATAACATATGCAAACAAGAGCACAGATACTCTAGAGAACAATGAGGGAGAAGAATATAGTTCATTATTAAAAAGTCTTACAGATGCAGAATTTGATTACTTTCTTTTGTAAAAACGCATTTTACTGATACTTGTTTTGTACTTAATAAAATGGAGGCTTGTGCAGCTTATGGACCTGATTTTTCTTTGCTTATTATTGGCTTGAAATGACAGCCAGAGGTAACTGCAAACTGCCAAGCCACTCAAATTGATGAGTGAAATGAATGAGCGCATAAATAAGGTGCTTAGGAAGCTGTTTGGTTTTCACTGGATAGTTTTAGCTCCGCACTGTCTAGAGACCAAAAAAAAAAAATCACAGGATTGAATCTGTAAAGCAGATGATTCGCCATATTGGCGAGTTGTCCATCTTTCATCTGAATCCACCTGCTCTTGCTTTAAATGAGGACTGTGGAACAACAAAAAGTCTGGTAACTGATTTCCCCACTGATTCTCCAAAAGTCACCACCTCAGGACAGGTTCATCGTGCTACAGCTACTGCCTGCCACTGTTAATATTCCCACCTGATGGAGACACTAGGAGAAACTGTCAGAGACAGGTGTGTGTGTGTGTGTGTGTGTGCCAGCATGCATATTTTTAGTGTGTGTGACAGGGGGAGCCAGGAATAGCCCTGGCAGTACATCCCATTCCTGCCTGCTGTGGTGACTGATGCAGGGGCTCAGATGTGGAGTTTGTTGAAGGGAGAAGCAGTCCACCTCTGAGCTACCTGCCATCAATCACATGTGATCTCAGGCAGAAGACTGGTACATTTCAAAGGACTGTAAAATGCAAAGCCACAAGAAATCTTTCATCTTAAAAAAACAAGATAATGTTCTTAGAAAATTAGTCATAAAACAGTAATTGTATCTTTTACATTGTTTTTTGAACCATATTGACAGTCGGTACAACTGTTCCTCTGTTCGTTAATCCAAATATCTAATCAGCCGATAGCACGGCAGCAAGTCAGTGCAATTAGGTATGTAGACATAGTCAGGATGTCTTACTGAATGTCAAACTGAGCATCAGGATGCAGCATAAAGGCAATTTAAATGACTTTTAAACGGCATTTCAGAAACTGCTTATTTGCCGGGATTTTCCAACACAACCAACTTTAGGGTTTAAAGAGAAAATATCCAGTGAGCAGCAGGTCTCTGAGCTAAAATGTGTTATCAGTCAAGGTCAGAGTAGAATAGCTAGACTTCATCAAGCTGAAGTAACCACTCGTTGCAAACCAAGGTTTGCAGAAGAGCATCTCTGAATACACAACCCATTTAAAGCTGAAGCAGATGGACCACAAGCAGCAGAAGACCACACTGGGTGTCACTCTCTGCACAACCTAAGCCCAAAACTGGACTCTCTGATGAGCTGATGACCATGCCACACATGTCACACTGTACTCAAATGGCCTTCACGGTCACCAGATCTGAATCCAGTAGAGGATTTTTGGGATGTGGTGGAACAGGAGATTCGCATTATCACGTGCAGCCAAAAAATCTGCAGCTACTGTGTGAAGCTTTGATCTCAATATTTACCTAAATCTCTGAGGAATGTTTCCAGCACCTTGTTGAATCTATCCAATGAAAAATCAAGACTGGAGGGGTTCAATCTGGTACCAACAAAGCAGCTGTGCAGCAAGATGCAGTAAACACTTTAAGTTTGTAAATAATGATGAATATTGTAAAAGATTAACATGGGGCTATCATTCTTTCCCTTATATA